CCCCGGATGTTCCATGCACAACCTGCCGTGTGTCTCCTGCCCTTCTCTGCACTTCTACACCTTGTTCTGTAGTACATAGTGTTTGAGGCTGGACACGAACCCCTCCATGGCCCCCAGTCAGAGGAGAGCGTTTATCAGGTACAAAGACAAAACATCGCCCCCCCCCCTTTTTTTTCTTCTCCCTTCTTACATGCCCCTGTGATAGATGATAAAAGTACTAACAGCAAGCGCCCGTCGAGCTCATCACTTTTCCGCAGATTCAGGTTTAAATGTGGTGTCAAAGGGCCTTTGTTTTAAGCTGAGCATGAAAACCAAGGGAAGGAAGTTTGTGTTTGAGATGTCAAGTGGAAAAAGCCTCACGTAGCATCTAAGAGCTGCGAGCGCAGTCAAGGTCAGTTTCGTCTTTGCCATTTAAGCCTTGGAATTTTTTTTTTTTTTTTCCCCCGGACCATTTGAAGGAGCGGCTAGGACTTCGGGGACCTGTTGTATGGTTTAATCCGACGCCCTCCTCCCAGCTTTCCTTTCTCTCTGCTGCTTTCCTCCTCCTCTTTTTTCCCCCTCTGTATCTTCCTGTGAAGATGAAAGATGCAGAGAAAGAGAGCGAGAGAGAGAGAAAGAGAGAGAGAGAGATTAATCACTTGCCATGCCATTTGATCTGGCAGTGAAACAAGATCAATAGACTTGGGCGGGGAAAAAAAAAAAAAAAAACATAAGCAAAAGTTAACCAGCACAGGGAGCGAAGAGAGACGGGAGGAGAGGTTAAAAGCGACAGCTCGTTCTCGTGACTGGGAGAGAAATATTAGCTGAGGCAATTTTTTTATTGTCAGATAAGCTTGACTGGTGCAGAATAACAATGGGCCTTCCTGATGCTCGCCCAACATCCACCGCCCTTATTTGCAATCGATATTGATTTAACTCGATTTGATTCAGCTGGACAATTTGCATAAACCCTTCGCCACAAAAGATAAAAATGACACGAGAAATGGACGAAATCAAAATGGACGTAGTCAGATTTTTATGCTTTAGTCGTTTCAGCTCCTGATATGAAACACAAAAGTCGCTAAACCGTCTTGCCATGCTATTTACATTTGAATCGACCTCCAATCCAATGCAGGTCCCAACCAGTCAGCAGAAGGAAGGGATCTATGATGTCCCCAAACGCCATTTCATGACTGTAGGTGTTCTTTTATTTTTATGATTTGTTTGGACACACACACACCTCCGCCTTCAAACCTCTCTGTCGGGTCCTCGTGAAGAAAATCCGATGGGTTGACGGTGGTCATGACATGCCTGTAATTTCACCGGACATTAGCCAAGCAAGCAAGTTCCCCAAAATGCGGCGCTCCCCAAAATCTGATCTCTGACCAGATGTCCCCAGACCAAATGAGCATGTCGTTTGTCCGCTCCACTTAACGGGAGAAGACAAATACGAAAGGGAGTCCATTCCATCTTCCTTCAGAGGAGGACAATGCGAGGTTTGTCGGCGGGGTGTTGGTGGTTTGAGTTGCATGCCGTGTAGCCATTTAGTCTCCGTCTAGTCCGCCATCAAGCTGCCCCTTCACCAGAATCCTTCCACCGAAGGCACTTACCTCCCAACCATTCAAAGAAACAAAAAAAAAAAAAAAAAATTCCATCTCATCCATCATGCGGCGATAACTTCGAAAAGCATTTCTTCTCGTTTGCTCAGTAAGAAAAGTCCTAGCGCAGTGCTTCTCCCTCGCCACCGTTTGCTGTTGTTGTTGTGCTTGTTGCTGAGCGTTATCGAACAGATAACCTGCCCCGGCCCCCCCCTTCGCTATCTCACTCGTACAGCCCCGCGCTAGTAGAAGTCGCGGCGCCTCCGTATCTCTTAAGCGTTACTGCTTGTCTGTTCATTCAGTCGGAGCTTTTCGAGAGCCAAGAGCTCGCCTGATGTGTGTCGCTGCCTGCAGGGGGAGAGAGACCTCGGTGCGCACTTGTTTACGTTTCTCTCCTAAACCCGGAGCCATCCCGCGAGCCCTCGGTGGTCACAAAGCGCAAACTGTGAGATCCGTTATGTCAAAGAGGACATAAAAGACTCGTTTGCGGCGACGCTGATTGCTGGGAGCTCTCCCCATCTCTTTCTTCCTTTCTTTCTTTCTGTTCTGGGATGGTTACCTTTTCACAACGCAGCGCTTTATTTACAGCATGCAAATCCTTGTTTTTTCTGTGCTCTTGTGGTGATTCATTGTCTGCTTATGCATGGCCCCAGATACATTTCATGCAACGTAGCTCTTCCACAGCTTCGATAATCGCAGTGTCCCCCAGCCCCCCAGCCCCCCTCCGTCCATAGGGGTCATCTCGACTCATAATGCGGGGCCCTTTTGTCGAAGTCGGGTGTTTTTCCAGGAGCTTCTTCCCTCATCCGCTCCTCCGTCTCTATAGTCGATGTGCTCACACGGTAGCATCAGCATTCAAAATCAGGTCAGACTCTCAAAGGACGCTTTTGATTGGCGGACACAAGAATATCTAATCAGGGTCTGTTTTATGGAACTGAATAGCCCCTTAGCCACTCAATTATAGCGAGCCGTGAAAAGGCCCATTCAAGATCTATTTTCTGATAACGGAACAAAGGGGTATCGTGGTTTCTTTCCATGCGCGGCGCAAAATGCCTGAGCGAATAGCCGTCTCACCCCCCGTTTACCCCACCCCACCGACTCCACCGCCGCCGTAGTCCACGCGGGGATGAATTCAAGAATGTATGACTATTGAATTTCAATTTCGTGATGTGTCATCGTACCTTTTTGCTGTCTCTCCCTCGGTTCGTTTCACAGAATATCAACCACTTCGACCTTTTCGGCGATATGTCCACTCCTCCGTCGGTGAGTACTTGCCCACACAAAAAATAAAATAAAATAAGCAAACATTCTGTTGTTGGGCTCCGACACGTTGACAGTCACGTTTGACTCCAACATCATGTACGGGAAAGCAAATGATCTGATTAAGGCCTGGCAGAATTAGGGCTACCTTGAGAGTCGTTTCTGTCCCTCCCTTCCAGGCGCATTCTGTTATTGTCAGCAATATACCTGTAGTACGTACATTTCGCTCTACGACAAGCCCCTGTACAGTACTCAAAGCTGTCAGCTCTGCTGAACAAAGACAAAGAAGCTCACTTCAGAGTGACTTTGACAAAGTTATCATCCGTGCCACATACTCTCTCAGATGCCCCCTTCACCTGCCAACACACTGGACCCGAGCAGGAGCAGCCGCCAGCAGCAGCAGCAGCAGCCGCAGCCGCCCAATCCTGCCGAGATGTATGCCCCCTTCAGCCCGACCTCTGTGCCATCAGGTGAGTTACTTGGACTGATATCTCGGTGAAAAAAAAAAAAGTTGTGCTGAGTTTACTCCATCTTCTTTCGCCAAGACTATACATCGACTCAAAATGTAGATGTATAGTCTGCAGATACATTTTTAAGTAGACGATACATCTACTTTGGGAGGAAACCGGAGTACCCGCAGAAAACCCATGCAAACTCCACACAGGAAAGCCCAAGCTGGAATTGAACCCGGTACTTCTGCACTGTGAAGTCGACGTGCTAACCACTGGACTACCGGGCCGCCCTATATATATATATATATATATATATATATATATATATATAAAATTGAGCAAATTCGACTGGCATATATATAGATTTTTTTGGCAGTTCAGAATGTGTAAACCACAGCTGGTACTTGTATTAAACTCTGAAAAGCATGTTTTTTTTTTTATTTTGTTTTTTTTGTATTCTTTGCATGACATATTGATTATCATTTTGTGAAATGAATTGGACTCACGGTCGTCTGGAAATAAAACACAGGAAAGCTGCACGCAAAGTGCCGTATTTCTTTCCTCGCGCCGCAAATTGATTTACGGAGGTGATTTCGCAAGTTGTGAGCGAAATGTTCCCCTCTTCTCCAGCTGCTATGTGCATCATTTCCTTCTCTCGTTGCCTCACCAGGTTATATGACCATGGGCCCCGTGCAGACGTCCCAGTGGGCCCAGCAGCCGTTTCCTGGCCAGGCTCAGACTCTCGCCTTCCCCGTGCAGGGGCCCTTGCAAGTGGCCCAAGTGCTGCCCGGAGGTCAGCCCCTCATCTGGAGCCAGGCCAACATTTTCCGAGCCACCCAGCAGCAATGGGCGGCCATGGCGGCGTACGTGCCGGCCCAGACTGTGGGGGTGGGGGGGCACGCCATCCCGGCCGCCATGCTCCAAGGCTTGGTGCCCATTACCACCGTGTGCCCCCAAGCCTGCGACCCGTCCGCCCCCTCTTCGGCCATCGCCAGCCCGCAGCACACGGCCGACCCCGCTCTGCTTCAGAGGCAGCTCAGCCTGGCAAAAGACGGCCTGGGCGTGGACTTGGATGCAGGGGAGGGCCCGTCGACATCGGGGGCGGGGCCCGGCGGGGTAGCAGTGAGCAGGTGCGCGACCCCGGGCCTGGTGGGCGTCAACAACGCCGTGGTCTGCAGTCGGCCGGTGTCACCCCCTGCTACCGCCGCATTGGACGACGAAGGCAGTGACCTCGATCTGTCCCGGATGACCTTGAGCCCTGGTACATCCACATCGCCGTCGACCGAATCACGTGAGTGTTCTTGATTGTCGCGCCTCAATGCTCCATCGCCATCTTCTCGTATAAATGGTGCCGCTTTCTTTTCTTAATTTTTTTGTTGCCACAGGCACTTGTTATGTAAAATATGCTGACTTTGTTTGCAAGTTGCCCTTTTCGTCATTGTTTGTCCCGACACCCAGCAAACCTTTGGCAAGATATTTCTTGACGCATTCGCGCGCAGTGAGGTCAAGTACACTTGAAGGGGGGGGCAACGATGACATGTTGTAAAGGCCATCCAACGGTCCACTTGCAGATCTAATTTACATGCGCCGCTTTCTCAAATGAAGCTCTATTCCAGCCTTTCCAAATGTTGAATGCCACCCAAGAGAGGAGAAAACATTTCAACATTTACTTTCCTGTCTTGGAAAAAGTTATAAACCTGTGGTTATCGTCATTCGAAACTCACTTTTCTTGAGTTGACTCATTAATTTAGATTAGTTTTACCTAAACTTTTATGAGGGGGGGAAAAAAAAATCATGCTCGAAATGTGTTATTACTCAACCTGCCCACCATTAAATTTTGAACGTTGCAGTCGGCATCATAGCTTGGAAATCCCCTGTTCTTTCCCAGCCTTTCTTTCTTTTTTTTTTTTGTTTCGTTCTTCATGTTGATCTATGTGCTCTCAGGTAAAGTGTTCTGGCTGAAAAATGGCACTTTTTTTTTCAATCAAGTAATACATAAAAAGGGATAGGCGTGTTTTCTGACGTAGTTCTGCTGGAATCCAATTAGATGTCGTGTTTTGTCTTGTCCCTGAAGGACTATCCTATATATTCTTGCGCATTAGTGAGAAAAAGCGCAGACACTTGATTTGCTTATTTATCAAGTATTTCTCTTCACTCTTCCTTGGCCTTGAAGTGGAGGGAATAGCAATTTAGTCGGCTCTCTGCTTTTTCACGCACCCGCTTATAAAGGCGTTGCACTTTGATTGTATCTCTTCAATTAAGCGCACGTTGACTTTACAGCATCCACTCCAGCGCCTCAACAGAGCTCTTCATCAGACTGCCCCCCGGGCCAAGTCAACACCATCCCCACAGACCACCCCCATGTCGAGCCCGTGGGCGACTCCACCCGTGCCAAGGACGAGCAATCGGTAAACCTGCGAGCCCTGCGGGGCGCACATTTGTCAGTAAAACAACCGAGTGGAATGTTGCGATGTCTCATCCTTCTATGAATGATCTGTTCTCGACAACATCATGTTTGATAAGCCCAAAGAGAATATGACGTGATTAATACGGCCAAGTAGCTTTGAGTTCATCTGATTGACAGAAAAAAAAAATATCAAGCCAGTCCAGAAAGCAAAGGTCCAAGTTTGTTTTAGTTGCTGGCATGCAACATCATAAAACGCTGTCGTAACTTAGCTCGACGTTGATAAATGTGTTTCCTTCTCCTTCGTAGGACTCCGCTGTCCCAAGGCCATCCTCTCCATTGGCCGGTGGAGCCAGCGGTCCATCTGAGGATCAGGCGTGTCCACGGGAAGACAGCTAGAGAACATCAGAGTGGGTCTTTCATCATTCCTCATTTAGCCACCAAACGCTTCACTTTGTGGCCACGTTTTTTCATCTCCCTTTAGTTTCTCAATTCCCTGATTAGCCTTACATTCTACATTCTCCTTTTGTGTGTATGTGTGTGTGTGTTTTTTTTTCTTGGCGCATGACTGCGTTGCTCTCATTTCGAAGCCTTCCTTGTCCATATGCCCCCCCCCCTGCATCGTCACCCATTTCGCTTGCTTCATCCAGAAAGGTACCATATCGCCATCTAACGGTCAGATTTGTAACGACACGGAGTGTAAAGAGTGCTCTTCTTCTCCTAGGAAATGGAAGCCGCGAAGGTCAAAACTGAAGCTTGAAAGAACTGAAAGAAAAGAGATGTGGATGGCTACGACTAAATTCGAAAGGATTACAAAAATGTAACTGTGTTTTTTTGTTTTGTTTCGTTCTTGTTTACGGCTAGATGGCAAAGCTAGCTGGCCGCCTAATGAACTCCTCACGATGGCGAGGAGCCCTGTGGCGCTCTCACCCAATCAAGTAACCTTTCAGCCAGGAAGTGACCTTTCATCTTCGCCCTGAAAGCGCAACGGGAGCAAACTGCACTTATGTCTCTGATGACAACTCAGACGGCTGTGATGACGTTGCTCACTAATAAATATTTTTTTTTCAAGAGGAGCAGCGTCCTCAATGTTTGACCTTCACTCTGTGGACCGCCACCAGCAAGGACCGTGAGAAGAACTGTGCGCTGATGGATGACGTTTTTCATGGTGTCAGTCCATTCATCCGTTTGCATGAACAAACTTCATGTGGAATTTAGCAGGCTGAGCTGTGGAGAAAGAGGCTGGGGGGGGGGCTTTGCAAGTTTCTTTCAGGTCAGAAACACATCAACACCATTTGTGTTATTTTATTCGTCAGACCGTTCTTTCGAAGAAAAAAAAAATCAGCAAAAACGCATTACGCGCTCATGTCCAAATCAAATTTGCCAAACTCTTTATTTTGTAGAGAAAAAAAGATCGCCCCAGCGCCCAGTCGTTAGCCTCCGTGCCATCCCATAGCGCTCTTGGATGCACCTCAGCCTTTGACATCTGGGTGTTTGTTTTTGCTCTTTTGCTGCCATTTTTCTTTTTTTTTTTTTTCTGAAAATGTCTTTATGTTTGGTTGGTGAGATATAAACTGTAAATCTGTGTTTTATGCTCGATCAAAATAAGGCCTGCTGTACCTGTCTCACTCATTTTCAGAAAGAAGGGGTCATGCACTTGGAAAACAATGGCCTGAGTCTCGAGGTCTCCTCTTTCGAAAGTCGCAGGCATTTTTTTTTTTCTTCTGCAAAATAGATGACTGACTCCTGTACATCTCTTTGTTGTTTTCATCTTCTGCTTTTTGGAAACACTGTATGTCCACCCCCACTGGATCAAACCGCAGAATTCTTTTTAAAATTTCTATCAATCAATAGAAATATCGCTATAAACTGCTAGAGTTACAATTTAAAAACTGCACCCCCTGCTTGTGTAAGAAAACATGAAATAGTCCAAAATATTTTGTAAATTTTATTTATGGATTTAAGAAATATGAAAAAAAAAAGGGACTTTTGTACATCGATTCCCCCATACACTGTACCTGTGCCACTGTTAAGTCACAAATAAAATAAAATGTGATTGCCAATGTACTTCATACCCTTTGATTTTCTTTTCTCTCTCATTTTCAATGGCAGTGGTCCAGCCTGGACAACTTTTTACTTTGCCAACCCCTCCACGCAGCAGTGTTCTCCTCTGTTCAATTGAAGGTGCTGCAGTTGGCACATTTAAATCACAGTTCTGCGATTGATAGTTCAAATCCGGCCTCTGGCCTTTCTTTCTGTGTGGAGTTGCTTGCAGATGTGCTGTTCTGCAAAATTACCAACATGACGTCTAACTGGTACATAATGGTACAATCAATACATGAATTCAATGATTTCAATATGTATTTACTAAGAAAAATGTTCCCAAAAGGTCTTTGTTGAATTGCCTGTAGTGTTGCTTACTTGTTTTGTGGTATGGTTATTAGATGTTATTTTTGTTGTCAAATTTTTGGGAGCTAATTAACAAAGTTGCAAATGCTTTGAAGTGAAAACACCACCGGCAGTTGACAATTATTAATAGACATCTGGGACTCGACTCGATGGGATTTAGCAAGTACGGTACATTCGTGTAAACAGAAGAGTCCCGGGATTGTGTCATTTTGTAAAACGAGTGACGCTAAACAAAGTTTAAAGGCCAATCTGTGTGATCAACAAACATTTGACAGCACAAGTCACAGGAATATACTTTATACAAAGGGATGTCTTTTTTCTCCCCCCTCCCCATCATCGCTCTTTTTTTAATCCACAGCGCCTGATGATTTTTTGTGCTCGATTCGGGAAACAGAATTGATACAAAGCGTACAACGGAAAGTTGGCCCCTCTTGAACACGTGAGCTCGGTGAACTCTTTGCATTTGTCGCCATTTGAACACATTCTTCATTCAATTCAAAGATTCAAATACGGTTCTCGAACACGAGGTCACTGGCCTCGCAGGTATCGCCAACTTCTGCATTGCGCAATTCAAAGATTCAAATACGGTTCTCGAACACGAGCAGGCTGAGTGACCCCGGGTCACTGGCCTCGTAGGTATCGCCAACTTCTGCATTGCCCTCCACCTTCTGTGTCTGACAGTGATCACTGTGTTTACTTACAGCTTCGCATTTTCATCTCGCCATTCCGGTCACAACGTCCCGCGATGTTTTCTGCGCGCGGACTCTCTTTGCGCTGCAGTCTCCTCACATCGACACTCACCTTGTTGCTTTCAAGGTAAGATGCTTTCAAGTCGATACACCTGATGTGTATTTTCACCTCATCCGCAGATTGCCTCAGATTTTGGCTCATTGATATGCAAAAGACAGATTTGAACAGTGAAGAAGCTACTCCGTTAATGGATAACCATAAAAGTTTTCATACACTGTACACATATTTTATATGTCACAGTACAGTTGATGTCACAACAGCCAGCGGTGAGGATGCGGCAGTCCGTGAAGCTCGCTCGGTCGGTGGCCAGTCACCGGTTCAGCCAGTCGACTGTGTTCTGTCAGAGTGGAGTCCATGGTCACGCTGCGACGTTTGCCAGGGGAAAAGAGTAAGGCCGATTAGAAGACCAAGATAAGCAATGGGGGTGAATCGCACAAATATGCCCGAGTTCAGTTCAACATTGCTGTGGTTGCTATCTGCTCGTCATGGACAAAAGAGAAATGCACGAATCATGAAAGACTCACGATACAAAACAAAATGACGACAACGTGGACCACCGTTCATGTTGAGTTGCCGTCAATAGTCATGTTGAAAGTGACCAACATTTGTGGCTGCGATGTGTAAGAAGCTACGTTAAGCAATAAACATGTTTTGAGGCAAAATAAAACGAATGTACTGAAATACAAACAATACAAAAGGTCTGATTCTACAGGTTCACAAAATTGCATGGCACTAGAGTCAGGTGAGCTGGTGTCACCATGGCAACAACATGAAAAATGATCGATTGCATAAAAAAAAAAAAAATGTGAGTACTCTTCAACAATAATAAAAATGAAAGTGGGCCGCATGTCTAAAGGTTGCATTGCACACAGATGCCAGATTTGGATGAACATGTCATTTACATCAACTAACATTGTTTTCTAGCGCTCCAACTCCATTTCTCTGCCTTTAAAAGGGGCCAAATTAAAAGCTTTGAAGTTGAAAACAGCCCACTAATGCCATTTCGGCATGTTATGGAACCCCGGAGCCCACTTTAAGAGCTCCTCCGCCACCTCTGCAAAAGATTTTCCTTTCTGTCTCTAAATGTGCTTCTCTCACTCTCTGTCAACGGCGCGCAGTACCGCTATGCCAAATTGAGCCAGCCATCACAGTTTGGAGGGGAGCCGTGCCATTTACAAGGCAGGGAGGAGGAAAGCTGCGAGGTTCCAGCACGTTACGCCTGTAACAACATTCCACTCTGTGAAGGCTTCCTTTGCAGCCAAACAGGTCAGGTCACACCAACCGCCCAGTCGCACTCTGAGAGCCTTTCGCTCCCGTCAAATGTGGTCTTCGGTTTGATGTTATTTTTGACAATGACTCATATTTGTTGGACTTAAGTTAAACATGGACGGTGGGGGACTGGTCAGCGCCTCCGCTTCACAGTGCGGAGGCACGGGGTTCGATTCTGGCTCTGGCCTTCTTGTGGGAAGTTTGCATGCTCTCCCCGTGCCTGCGTGGGTTTTCTCCGGGTACTCCGGTTTCCTCCCACATTCCAAAAGCATGCATGGCAGGTTAATGGAACACTCCAAATTGCCCCTCGGTGTGATTGTGAGCGCGGGTGGTTGTTCGTCGTCTGCGTGCCCTGTCATTGGCTGGCAACTGGTTCAGGGTGTCCCCCGCCAACTAGCCAAAAACAGTTGGAATAGGCTCCAGCATGCCCGCGACCCTCGTGAGGAGAAGCAGATTAGAAAATAGATGGTCTTTGTTGCAAACAAACTTCCCCAAAAAATGAAATAATACAACATTTGGTGTGTGGGTGCTTTAAGAACTGAATCTAAATGACAATCAAAATGTTACCAAACAACAATATTGTGAACTAGTGGTTTTAACGTCCACTCACAGGTTCAAATATCAGATTAGGCCCTATTTGCATGCTCTCCGTCCTCGCGTTGGATCTTTCTGACCCTCGCACAGCAAAAACATTGTTGTTTGGTTCACTGAAGACTCCTTAACATGTCCATCGGTGTGAACTGTGAATGAGCTTGTCAAGGGCGCACTTTGCCTTCCGCACAAAGTCAACCACAATAGACTTCCAACTCACCCATAACCCTCGTCAGAACTACAGAAAAGAAGATATGTGCGGGGAACGGTCTGACGCTTGACTTTCCAGGAAGTTGTTTCTGGACAATCAGATAAGAGAAGTGCGACATTTTAGTCATGCCTAAACCTTGACTCAGTGCTCTCCCTGCAGGTCGCTGTATTCCGAGAACGCTGCAGTGTAACGGGGAGGATGACTGCGGTGACATGTCAGACGAAGCAGGATGCGGGAAGAGCCAAAAGCCCTGCAGATACGAGGCTGAGGAGTACTGGGGCATCGAGAACCTTGCCAAGGGGTCCGTCCTCCTTCCAAGTATCAAATTTCTCAGACGTAGAAACCTTGGATCATATATGTACGTATATGTATTTTTTTCTTTAGAATCAACATCTTGAATAGCAATTTGGAGGGAGTTGTTCTTGATAACCGATACTACGCCGGGAGTTGTTTGCCTCACTACATCCAGGATGTCCGATTCCGGAAACCTTTCAACTTGCAGCAGTACACTCTGCAGGTACACGAAGCCGGCAATCACTCACAGTGAACTTCCAAGAGAGGGACCTGAACGAATGCAGAAACTTATTGATGAGGGTGATGTTAATGTTGATTTACTGGTTTCATTCTTTGTTTCGTATTTATTTGAATCGTACAGTAAGTTTATCAAGGAACCACTTGATCGATTGAACAACAAAATGCCCGAATAGTGAATAGAATAAAGTTCAAGGGGTGTGGCCTGTTTTCTTAAGTCATGAAAGACTCATGGTAGGTAAGAATTGTAAACTGGTCAGTCACAAATGTGACGTACCTTGAATGGGATCTGGTTGCTTACGCTGAGTAAAGAAAATTTGGCATGCAATTTGGCAAATTTTCTCATGATTTATTTCGAAACTGTTTAGAAACACGCAAGGACTCGAACCACAAGAGTCAACTGTCATTGTTCATTTCAGGCCTTATCAATATCCAATTATCCAGTCTGAATTGTTGTAAGTAATCCGACTGGCAAAACTTTGACTGATGAATAATCTTCTTCCGACCAATTCATGCCTTGCCGTCTGTTGTTAACATCCAATACGGCGCCGTCACGGGAACATTTCTTCACAGACAAAAGGTTCGTACGATTTCACTCTGGAGGCTTTTGAGTCGTACTCCGACTACATGGATCACACCATTAAGGAGCGCATGACCCAAACCATCGTTTCCACCGGCTTTGCTATTCCGGGTATCGCCGAATTTGGCTACAACCACAACAAGGTTAAATACTCCAAGTCGGTCCAGAAGATTCGTCGGGCCGCCGGAAAAGTGAGAGGCATTTCTGGGCAAAGCCACTTTAGTCTTCTTGCAAGTCAATAATACAAATCCCGACCCTCAGTCTTACAGCTTCATCAGGGCCAAAGCCGAGCTGGAGTTGGCCCAGTACATGCTCAAGTCAGACGACTTGATGCTGAGCACGGAGTTCCTGCAGCGCCTTCGCTCCCTGCCTCAGGCCTATGTTTACGGCGAATACAGGCAGATCTACAGAGACTACGGTACACACTACATCACGGAGGCCGCCCTGGGAGGGGACTTTGAGCACACCATCATCCTGGACAAAGAAAAGCTTGCGAAAACAGGTAATGGAGGCAACCGTGCGCCGCAAATCATCTCATGTGAAGCCTCGTAACTGTTCACATGGGCTTCAACCGTGATCCTTGCCTCTTAAATCACTGCACTCAAAATATGGAGAGGGCAAGACAAGTCAAAATGCCTGACAGGGTCTTTGTTGCTCCAGATTATTCTTTGACGGACTACAAATCATGCACGCAGTCGGGATTTAAGGTCGGCGCCAACATATATGGCGTTTACGTGTCTGTGGGCTTTCAAGGGGGATCCTGCGATGGTCTCCTCAATGAGATGGGAGGTAAGATTTACTGCAAACACAAACTACACTCTGGGCCAAATTCACAAAGAATGAACCGCGGCCGCTGAGAGCAACTTCACTCGCACGAGATTTGCTCTTCGATTGTGCTAATGACATAACCGTGTAAACGTGCCCACAAAGTTTGACAGCTGAGTGCAGTTTCCCTCCCGGGTTGCAATAAACCGCACTTGGCAAAGTATAAATGCCGGCTTTGCGCCAAGAACACCAAGGCGGAACAATGGCAGTTGGGAAGAGAAACATCAACATGATCCAAACACCATCTTGGGGTCCTGACCACGGAACTGCTGTCAGAAAAGTGTTATCAATCTTCACCAAAATGTACATGCACATCTCTGCTCGCTCTGAAAATATCAAAACAACCGCCTCAATATTTTGGACTTGACGGATGTCGGCATTTTCCTCAATAACATCCACGTTCAGCTGTGGTGAGCGCTTCCTCAGACCAAGATGTCGTTGCGTTCATTCATTCATTTCATGCCCATAAAATCCAAAATATTGGTGCAATCATTTTGATATTTTCTGAGATGGATGTGGACATTAGTAGATATGCGGACGTGATTTTTCATAACGACTGGTTGTAGTTTTCTGACATGCACAGTCATTGCACTTTTTTTACTTGAAGTGTTTCAGAACCCATTCCCCAGAACTCCAGGCAAGAAATGCAACAGAAATATTCGATCACTTTAATTATTACTTCACTCAAACTGCGTGCGGCTATTAGCGCTGGTGTTCGTGAATTAGAAGTTGTTTATCAACGAGGCCCATTTGTTTCTCTGACAAGTATTACCTCATTTAAATGTGCGCATATCACACCCAGGCACCAAGACGCATTCTCCTTGCCAGCGGAGTTAGTGAAGCTTTTCACCATCTAGCTTTGTGAATCAGATGCTATGTGCCATGAAAAAAAAAAAAAAAAAACACATACGCAGTCTTTTAGCGAATCCACCCCCTTTGTTTTGAGAAAGATTCAGTGCATTCAATTCCACTGGACTGTTTCAGAGGACACTTCGGATGGTAGCATGGTGGAAGACACAGTGGCGGTGGTACGGGGCGGTAGCAGCGAATCCATCACTGCTTTGGTGTCCCAGAAGCTTCCCTCCCCGCAACTGATGAAATTATGGGGCGAGGGAGTACGCTTCAATCCAGACTTCCTTCGCAGAACGGTATCACACGATTTATTTACACTTTATTTCAACTCTTCTGAGTGAAAAAAAAATGGCTCTCATTCCTTGACTAACCAGGTTGAAATCGCTGTTTCATCTTTTTGGCGTATGTACAGTGCAACCTTCATTTAACGGTTGTCCGTTACATCAAACTACCTTTTTTCCATGGCCGAAAAACACTAATACACTCCAAAGTTATTGTTTGGTACTTTTTTTTCAAATATGCCCAATGCAGTACAAAATTATGCGGTTCAACATTAATCTCCTTTCTTTCCATTACCTTGAATGGGATAGTCACCCCAGATAACATATGCCTGTGCATTGCCAAGGATGGCCGACAATGTAACACGGCTAACATTTCCTTAATTGATATCTGGGATGTATTGTTATTTAATTTAATTTAATTTAATTTTTTTTAGCAGTGCATAGAATCTTGCATTTTCATTTCCAATTCTGCTCATGGCAGCATCTGCGGATTGGAGACCTCATTAACTTAACTTGACACATTTTGAGAAATATTTTGTGAGCAGAATTGGCATGCTCCCTCAAGGCAAAGCAGCTGGCTTGATCAAAGCCAAGTTTTGGGAGTAAACAGCAAAAGACGCCAAATGGAAAGTGTTCCAAATGAAAACACAGTCAAGGTTCAGTCGATGAAGCCTTCCAGTGGTCTCTAATTCCAAGCATCTGCGTTTCCTCATTAGACTCGACCTCTGTATGAGCTGATCACCTCCAGAGACTTCGCCCATGACACCATCTTGAAGAGAAATCTGAAACGGGCGCTGTTCGAGTACCTGGAAGAGGCCAGCTCATGTCGATGCGCTCCCTGCCGCAATAATGGAGTGGCGGTACTCAGAGGTACCTCAAATCGATCATCTGTTGAGCCGTATCTAACAATTGATGCCGCATGAGCCACGATATAAGCGAAAATAAGATTTCCAATGTGTAATTTAGGGTAAAAATATTCAAAACGTATCTCATTGGGTTCAATGAAGTTCAATACCGCCGCTGCCGCAAGAATAAACACGCCGTATTGTTGATTACGGACGCCTTTTGGACAGTTCCAAGCAAAGTAAAATCAACTCAAACAACTCAGTCATATCCGAACAAGTCGATAAATAACAGTCGGTTCCATGGAATAGTCTGTGTTATTTTTGATAGAACGCGAAAAACACATCCTCTGTATTCTCCGCAGGCTCCAGATGTGACTGTGTGTGTCCAGTTGGCTACAGCGGCCGCGGCTGTGAGGTCACGCACAGACAAAAAGGTTAGCTCATACAATATTAGTCTGGTTTCTCTCGGAAGTGTTGACACGGTGGGCTGCGATATCATTTGACAGAAATTGCCATCGATGGCAGCTGGAGCTGCTGGGGTTCGTGGTCCTCCTGCAGCGGAAGAACAAAGACAAGGAGTCGCCAGTGTAACAACCCGGCACCGAGCGCTGACGGCCTGCCGTGCAGAGGCTTGCAACAGGAGTCCACCGAATGCTTTTAAAATTGCCCAATTGGCACAAATCCATTCACTTTCGATTTGAGAATGCTGTTGAATCAAGATGTCCCTCCAATTAAAGTGAAAAATAACACAGATTTTTAATCATGAACTGATTTGCTACGTAAATGCTCCATTGGGTGTGTAGCGCCTCACGTCACTGGCTTTTTAAGTAACTGGCATGCTATTGATTTTCTATCAAATGCTCCATTCCCAATGAAATTGCAAGTGCTGGCAATCACGCAAAGGTATTAGCCAGCTATACTTCAGCCCGTGCCATTATCCTGAACAAGACACGGGGTCCGGATAATAGAAATAGCCCAAAGCATCATGGCTGCCGTAGGATACCTTGAGAACTTGCTGTATTGGATTTTGATAAGATTATAGACAAAAAAGCAAATATAGTCGTAGCGGTGGTCATTTTGTAATGGTTTTTATGAGAATGTAAATAATCACTTACATCCAAATCGATTGATTCAGCCAATACAACTTCTCTCACAAGAAAGTACATCTTGCGTCATCTGCGGAATGATTCATTTTATTTGAAACTTTTACAGTGAAGACTTACAATGACACAATTACACTAGAGAACATATTACGGTCGAACCTCGTTTCGACGTACCCCGTTTACAACGTTTACACCGCAATAACGTTCACATTCCAAAGTCCTGGTTTCACATAATTCTTGTTCCATTTGCTGGTTTTGCTTACAACGTAAACGTCATTATATAACGACCAGATTTTTTTCTCACAAAATAGTGAAAAAGCCTTCATTACAATGAACCGTGGGAAGCTAACTGCCGCCGTGGCCTTGCTTATGAACAAAATGTACAGCGTGGGATTCCGCTCCGTTGTGTAGCATCACTCCCAATCGACTCAGTACATTGTTGTACTTTCTCATGGAGGCACGGGCATGGTGTGTTTTTTAAATTTTTTTTTTATTATTATACATTGTAGATGGCGGCCATTTTGTTTGAAATGGTTACAACGAACTACCGTTGTAACGTACGGATTCGTTACGTCCCTACGTCGTGACGAGGTTCGGCTGTATTTCAACAGCGCTGAGATTGAGAGGAGGAGCCTAAGCACGTAGCTCCGCCTCCATCAGGTGGCGGATTATTACAGGCTCGAGTACGCTGTTTCCTCCCTGATGTACAAGCGGACCAAAGTCCCCAGCAGGACCACGACCCGTCCGTTCCAGTTCCTGTTGGCAGAATGGAGCTATTCATCCAGTCAAAACGTCTACGTTTTGATCGATCACAGTTAAGTAACGATCATATGTTTACAATTAGAACAACACTATCACGACATTAATATAAAAGAGTAAACTCATGCAAACCACTGCTTCTCGTCTCACCGCTTCGACGAGTGTCCTCACAGGCTTCTCCTTGGTAGCCTGGCTTACAGATGCAGCTGCAGGATGTTCCAGTGAGCACGGGGATCCCATTGTGCCTGCAGGGGGCGCAGCGACAAGAGCTGAACTGCTGCTGATACTCTTCCAGTCCCCTCTGGAGATTGGCCAGTCTGGCTCCGACGTGATCCGATGCTGTGCTGAGGCGCACAAGCTCATAGATTGGCATGATCTGGCTCAATGTTGAGGAGGCAAACCGGAGTAAGCAGACAGAAAGAGAGAGAAAGGGGGAAGGAGAGATTTACCCGGTGGATCATTACATCAAGTGAAGCATTCGGTTTTTTTTCTCTCCCCCCCCACCCACAAGAACAAAAGCAGAGAGGCAGAAAACAACTGCAATTTTCAACACACGCATTTTGGGGAGTGATTGCGAAATGGAAGGGTCTTACCTCCTGTTCAACGACTGTCGGGTTGTATTTAAGGCTTGCCCCCCACTTGCGATAGGTTTCAGGATCCCTGATGACCACCAAGCCACTGCTGGTGTCTGTCAGACCCCCCTTCACCAGCGTGATAACGTCCTTAATTACGGCGGAACCCTTGTCTGTGACTTTAGGCAAAAGTCACATTGTCTTCAATACATTTCTTTTCCTCTTTTATTCTACAGTACGTATATTTGATCTCTCAACATTGCATTCAAAACCTCTGATTTTGTACTTTGTCTCGCTCACCATGTAGTAAGGGTCCGCCTTTTTTACATAATTCGCCACCCGCGGTGAGACCTGCCGTTGTGTACGCGCCGATTGATGTGCTTAAACCAATGGAGGCGCCTATGCATGAACCGGCCTGTTTCCATTCAAGTTCTGCAAAGGGATAGATCGTGATCGTACGGTTGACATCGACATCGATACCCGATCAACAAAGAAGGCCCCGCCCTACTTGATTCAAGCATGGATGTTTTGTTGACCACCACCACGTATTCCAGCGTTCCTCCCATTGCTCCCTCGGTGACATAGTGGGTGCCAAAGGAGTTGAAGAAGCGGGAATATGTGCCAAAGTCATATTGCTCTGGAAGTTCCATCAGCGACAGGTAGAAATCCTCGTGGAGCATCAGCCGATCGCTTCTCATCTTGAAGTGAGCTGTTTCCACTTTGGACCAAAGCCTGATGAACCCGAGGTCCTGATGGTAAAAATTCAACAGATGTGACATTTTAGGAGCCCGTTTAAGGATAACAAGGCTTTGGAATTCGAGCCGAAGCTGTAGCGAAGCATCCACTGTCAAAACATATTCACATCCAAGGACAATTTGGAGTCTTCGGTTAGTAACGCTCACGTTTTGGGAGTCTGGGAGGGAAGCGGAGGAAAGCCTGAGCAAGAACGAGAACATGCAAAATGAATAAAGGAAAAAGGCCCAGATTCGAAATGCCAGCCTCAGACCTGTGAGGCAGATGTGCTCACCACTCATCCACCGTGCCCAACGTAATATCATGAAACCTCAATCGTTCCAAAAGACAAGACATCCAAGCTGTCTTAATGGCTCATCATTTTTGACATAGGAAATAATCCAAACCAGGCTCAAATGTTTTCTTTTGTCATAAAAGGTTAATGCCCGACGCCAAAGATAGAATAATGATGATGCTTCTTGTTTGTACTTGATGTTGTGCGCCTGTTGACTTGCAAAGCAACTGGATATGACCGTACCTGGCTTCTATGCTGTGATATATTCCTTAGAAATTCAGACTCCTTGCCTCCACTCAGTCCCACTTCCACATAATAGATGCCGACCGAGACGCCGGCGTTGGAGGATCGCATCGTTTTCCTTGCTTTTAGCAGGTTCACCGCGTTACTGTAATATTCCTGCGTGCCCTCTGATGTCGCCTCTGCCTGCAAAAGAGAAACTTGCATGACCGCGTCTCAGCTCAGTCCATCCGCTAAGCTGCACGAACGATAAATGACAGTACCACAAAGCGGTAGGCATGGTAGTTGTAAGGTTTCCGGTAGTTTTTCTCGTCATCGTTGTAGCGCAGGTTTTCACAGAACGAGTCATAGGTGAACTTTTTCCATTCGCCGTTATAAACATAGTCACATTTTCCTCCAAAGTACTTTGGGTCCAGGACATGATCCACAAATTCTCCAGTCAAAGTATTGTAGCTGAAACGAGATACAACATGTGTTCCTTTTGGAGCAGAGCATGTTCTGATGCCCAAAACAAACAGTCGGCCGCTTCGGCAATTATGTACATGTCTCAAAACCTCCTCGGCCAATTCGAGCGTCTGTTTGATTCGTGCTTGCCAAGACCTGTGGAACACAACGGTTTTTGGAAAGGACTGCGCATTTTAAAAATCATTACGTTATGTACTCTTCAGCGTTTCTCAAAAGATTAACATCTTAATTTGGAATAATGGTCCTATACAACTGTAAACAAATTGCAGAACACAGACAGAAAGACCCCCCCCGACCCCACCCCTCCCTTCTTTTTTGTTGACAGTACAAATCATAGTTTGATAAGCATCTTAAGTGCCTCGTTTCGTTTACGTTCTTGTAACAAGTGTTTACCCCTGAGTGCCACGCTCGGCACCAGGAATGGTGAGGAGGGTGGAGCACTTGTCGTCCCTCCGGTTGAAGCCTTCGCAACCTTCTTCATCCGAAAAATCGTCACAGTCTGCCTCTCCATTACAGCGAAGGGACTGGCTGATGCAGCGGCCTGCAGCATCAGAGCAAAGTCAAATATCTTGACTCTTTCTTGCAATAAACAAGCAATGTGTAGTGACCGGGTCTTAAAATTAGACATTGTGCTGTCTTAGAATACAGGAGAAGAATAACAACTCCTTCGTTTCCACGTCAACCACAAATCGTCTGCACGACAGTATTGTTGGGCTACCGCTGAAGCATCTTCTTTAGCATTCTAACCTGTTTTTTTTTTTTTGTCTGTAAACAAATGCACATGGATGCTATTGATAAATATTGCTCATGCTTCAAGTTGAACTGTTGTCATTGACGGGACTTGCCAGTTTCTTGACAGGTGAAGCTCTCCCCACAGTAATCGGGCACCAAACACTGTTCAGTCGTCGTTGGACATGCAAGCGTTTCCCACAACGTCTCCAAGCAAGGCGTCCCGCCGAACTGTGATGGTGTCTCCAGATATCGGAAACGGAACTGAGACAAATAAAGTGAACAAAGAAGTGAAGGTTTTGAAACGGATTGCTCTGACGGATTGATGTAAAATCTTCACTGTGCTCATTTTTAAGATGATATCAACAAACGCGATGTCAGTAAACCCGTCATTCCAAATTTCAAAAATGTTCTTTTTGTCGGAGATCACTAGAGCGTGAGTCATTATTCCATTTGGGCTTATTGACCCTTGTCCAGACTGATAATCAGCTGCAGCGAGTCACTTTCAAACAAACGGACAGAAAATGATTACAAATTATTCAATCACTCTCGAGCGTATTGACAGACGGACAAGTGTAAATCTCTGTGTTATGCCATTTAAACTGACAAAATATTCGACTGTACCTTTTGGTCTGTGCAAGAGTTACATGGTGTCCATGTTGACCAGCGCCCCAGTTTGCAGTTGACGGGTATTGGTTGGTTTACAGCTCGAACTGTACGAGAAGTAGCATCTCTGGTCCTGGGGTGGGGGGAAATAACAATCACCTCAATCCTATTTCCATTCCCAATGATGTGCAGAATTCATTAAAATCTCAATTGAATGCACGCTGTACCTGTTATGTGCTTGGATCCGTTGCCTCCTGTACGCATTCTCATTAATACCGAAACTAAGTGAAAGATGCAGCGTGGACAAACATAGGAGTAAATTCATTAAACTCCCCATGACAGCATGAGGTTAATCTTGCAGATGAAAATGGAACATTACAGAGCAACTGTTGACATCCTGGGGGTCTTCCTACCAGTGCAATCTGGACTAACCATGGTGAATCATTGATGAAGAGTCAACAAAAGCGCTTACAACAGTTGGGAAAGTTTAATCCTCTCTTATTAACAGCAAACATCCACTGAAACACGGAGTTCAAAAATAAATTGGGGGTTCATTGAAAGCAATGAAACACTTGAAACATTTGAAATTCGAATCATGTGATAGTGTTCAGAATGACCACAGCCCTTCGAAACAAACAAACAAATAAATACATAAATAAATAATCGGACCATGCACCATATCTATTTGACTGCATTTGCAGAGAGGAAGAGGTCGCTTCGGACTTTTAGCTTCTCCCGCAGAGTTCATAATATGTTTGTTTGCTGAGATTTATTTGTTTGCGTGTGATGATCTGTCTATTGAGCCACTCCATTCATTTTATGAACTGGAATGATGGATAATTCATCATCACTTTTTGCATTTATTTATTTTTTAATCTGTTTAGCCCAAATGTGACCTGCAGAAAACTTTGTTTCATGTCAACTTTCGCCATTAAACGACATGTAAGGTCGTAAAATACTAATCCTGTACTAATCATGAACGTTTCGTTCAGAGCAATCTCGTGACCGCGCCCGCAAACAATGACGTATTTACGCATGCGCCCCACAGCGCCGGCACTTTCAAATTGTTTGGATTAGCATCGCCGATGATTAGCATTAAAACGTCACCTGAAAGTATCCCCAGACCCGAAAACCACGAAAGCCATCAACGTGCTTTTCGACTGCTTTTCCAATGCTGAAAAAAACGAGCTACAATGGAGGAGGTAAGAAAACGTTTTTTTTCTCTCGTAATTGCTAAATTGGGCGAGTAGGCGACCTTCATCCCGGTTCCTTAGTGCTGCAGTGTGGTGTTCACATGATTTTTGTTCAAAATCAGCACGAGCCACTCGCCACCGTCACCTTATCATTACAATTATGCCCAAGATTCTATGGCAGCAGTACAGAGAGACATGTCCAAATTATTTCCAGAAAATCTATTTGTAGATTTTTTTTCTCCTTATGTGAGTATAATTAAGATCAAACTTAATTAAAAGACATTTAAACTCAAAATTCTGTTCTTATTTGTGTTTTGAGGCGGAGTAAACTGTTCTAGAGCAAGCAGTGCCATATTCCGTTTATTGTATTCGTGATGAAATGCTCTTGTTTGTTTTTTCAGGAGAGTCAAATCAACTTCAGAGCTTTGAGGGCCAAGTTTCAGGAGGAAGCTCTTCTGGCCCAGACCAAAACCACTCGACCAACTGTAGCGGAAAAACCCAAGAACCTTCCTCCTGCTGGAGGCCACTGTAGTTCAGTGGTTAGTAGTATCAATATTGCCACAGAAAACAAGACAACAGTGGTTCCCAGAGTTATTTTCAGAAATGAACTGCGAGCTTCTGGTGGAAAGCGGTCAACTTCCTCTCCGGCACAACCTCCGCAGCTCTCCCCCTCTTCTCAGCCCACTAATGGAGACAGCACAACAAAAAAGCAGTCCTTCAAAGAACGGCACATGCCTCAGGTGCTTCCTGTCTTGTGTTCTAAAGAACACAAGATTGACCCTCTAATCAAAAGAGAGTCACCGCAAGAACAGGAGTTGTTGAAAGAAGTCCCTCGAATAAAACCCAGAAAGAATAATTTGCTGCTTGCTTTGAAGTCTTCCAGAGTGTCGAAGTTTAGCTCAGAAAGTGAAGAGGCACCCACATATGCTGAATTGACCACCAGACCTGCGAGTGCTCCTGGCGAATTGCCCTCTGTGGAAAAGCAAACCTCCGAAGATGGCGTTTCGCTCCAAGGGGACCAATTACCCGCGACGCGCCGTCTCTCCAGTCCAGATGTCTCAGTCACTCCTGCGTTACTTGAGATGAGCATCGACTCTGACAATCGCATCATTAGCACCTTGGAGAGGGCCAAGAGGAAGTTCTCCTGCCGACACATATTGATTTCCAGCAAATCCAAAAGTCTGCGTTCTCCTGACTTTGCCTCGAGCGAGAGGCCCTTCCTTTCGTCGTCCAGGAACATGGAAAATACGGAGCCTGACCTACCTCCGCTTCCACCGCCACCCGTTGGACTCCCACACCTCGCTTGCATCTCTGCGCGACCGTTCTCTAAAGTCAACAACTCGCCTCGAAGTATGTCGCAAACATTGTTCTGTAACTGTATGCGCTCACTTAGTTAACATTTGTATCATTATGACTTTTTTTTTTTTCCAACCCTCCAAAGAACCTGCATTTATCAAGCCGTATCGCCCGGATAAAGCTGAACATTCTTCTGTCACAACTGACCTTCCTTCCCATTCGACTCCTCAAAAGAATCCTCTGCCTGACTTGAGGTCGCTGGGGCCAAAGCCAGCGAAGCCTCGCAGACCACCATTGGTATCTCTCAGACATGACCAAAAACCAGTTCATGGTGTGTTCATGTTAACTTTTTCTCTTTTTTTTTTTTTTAAAAATTCGCCTCCCTCCTTTATTTTGTCTGGACACTGCTGAATGTGTTTTGTACTGCAATTTGCATTTTGCATATTTGTGGTGAGAGTGGGCATCTGCTTAAGTGCTAATATCTCTCTTCGCAGAGGTGTTAAAAGATCTCAGCCAAGAGCCAAGTCAAGGTTCAGAGTCAGAAAAGCCCACCTCCAGTGCTGTCCTGGATGCTCCCGTGTTCCCGGACTTTGAGAATCCGGAGATGGAGCCCACACAGACCGAAGCCGTCGATATTGCCGCTTTAGACCTCGAGGTTCTAGATTTGCGTGGCCTCGGCTCTCCGCCTCCTGCGCCAGCTGACCGTGGCGTCCCTGAATCCAAGACTTCACAATCTGACGCGCGTACTTCCGAAGTCGCCAATGAAAGCTCTGTTGCCCAACAGCTGAAAGTTGGCAGTCTGAGCGGAATACCTTCTCATCCAGCCAGCTTCCCTGAACCATCAAATCTGACAGAGTCCATCACACGTGACCGAAGGAGCCCGAGCGAGGACGTGATCGTTCCTCCTCCTCCAACGTCTCATGCTGATGAGGCTGAACTGGCCGCTGCCGAGTCCCGCTGTGCTCGTGATGAAACTGAGCTCCGTCTCCAAGCAGCCCCGACGAATGAGGAGACTCACACACGCGCAAGGTGAGAGTCAATGAGAGTCAAACTTTTTTTTTTTAATAGATGTACTATATTTTTAATTGGATCATTTGTTTCAGCGACCAAAACTATGAGTGTGACAATGTATATGAAGATGTGGAAAACATCAACAAGTTCTTCTTGTGCCAGAACTCGCGCAAGCAGAAAGGCAATCTGAAGAGTAAGGATACTTCCTTAATCTATCCCCACTCCATCCCCCCCACCTGAAATTACCTTCAAAATGTAACCTTTTCTTTTAGATCCATATGCTGACAACAACCTTCCTGCGGTAAATCATTTTACATCTGATTTATTGTGATGTCCTTTAAATGAATCTTTCTTCACTTTGCTTACTCCGTCTGCGCTCCTAAATAATAACATATTGTTTTACCTCAAGAAAGAGGAGGTGTCTCTTCACATTTGGCCACGGAACCCATGGTATGAACAGTTTGGTTTTATTTGACATTCATTTTTGCCAGATGCAGGATCGCCTTTGATTATTTCTTTTTCCCTCACTGTGCTTTTCAAACAGGGGCAGCATATCGGGAGAGCACTCATCCCATAATCTTGTCCACGGGTATATTGCGCATCACTCATTCATACGTCCATTGAACGGATACTTTGTACTGCAAACTCCTTCCATTTGCCTTCACCTCAGTCTTCCCGGCATATGGTTCTGTTCACGCTCAACCAGTCGTGCTTGTAACTTTTAATGGAAAACAAGCCTTTTGTTGCCGCTGAACAGTCCATCTTTTTTTTTCTCTCTCTCTCAGTAAGGAACGCCAAACCCCCAACACTACTGCTGACTATAAAGAACTGAAGAAGAGAGAGAAGCAGCGACTGGAGAAGGAGAAAAAGGAGCAAAAGGAGCGAGAGAAGAAGGAAAATGAAATGAAAAAGAAGTTCAAAGTAGGCCTGGATGTTATTTTGTGTCATATTTTGAAAGATGCACTTTTGTAGCGTGTTAAGCGCAGAAACATCACACTATTGTAGCTCCCGTGTCACATTTTTAAAACGCTTCTGCTGGCGCTCCCGATTCCCATTCTTTGACAATGTCATCGATGATTTGCGGATCAAACAAATGAACTGCGATTAAACAAAAAATAGATCAATCTCAACAGCTCTGATCGCTTGCTGCAATTGCAGACTGCTGAATGCGGACTGACTGGTTGGGCACTCCTGCATCATAAGATGTAATTAAAGGAGAAGTCAACCCTCAAATTTTCTTGATAATATGTTCCATGTTCTTCCGTTAGTCCCAACACAATATTCTCATTAATGTCGCGTTTGTGGAATATGAATTAAGCGTCGAAATCCACAGAGTTTTTTTATCACAGGGGGCGGCCATTTTGCCACTTTCTGTCAATTCTAAATGACATCGCAGTCACTAAGGGCTGAAGTAACAACCGGTTACGGCTCGCCTGTTTTCTGAAGCTTGAGCCATGATGCCAAATAATGATGTCCAATGTTTTCTAACTGTTACAAGAGGGGGCAAAAAGCACGAGTCTATTTAGGGTTCTATTTATTTGTTCAAGTGCACCCGGCAATTAGATGGGACTATTAGAGTGGAGGTCACAAAATCTTCAGCCAAAGTTATTTAATGCTTGTAAAAAAAAAAGTGATGTGTCGCATGTAGAAAAATGAGGCTGTGCTGTGTCTCTAGGTGACGGGCGATGAAGAGCCCATGTACCACGCTAAGGTGATGGTGGCGAGCAAGGTTCGCAAGAATGACCTGCCTGTTAAAAGCGGCGACACGGTCAGCATCATCCGGACCACCAACTGCCCCAAAGGCAAATGGTTGGCCCGGGACGCAAGCCACAAATGTGAGTTGAAATGCACGGCAAATTTCGGCGGGCGCAATTTCTGTTTGGTGGCATCTTGGAGTGGCTGTGCGCTGTCCTGGCCCTCACAGACG